AGGTCAAAATTGCCCCTCCTATCACCGTTGGAGATTTGGTTTACCTCTACGCCGACAAAACCAAATCACAAACTCGCAACAAATACATTGTTACCGCCGTACACAGAGACTTTGCATACATCTCCAAGTTCATCGGTCGACAGCTACGGTCTAGGTCCTACAAGGTCCGTCTGGCGGAATGCTATCTGGTTCCAAACCAGGTCCCACCTCACGACCGCCATCCAGCATGCAGTGAAGAGGAGTCTGAGTCCGAGTATGCCTCTAGCGACGAGCGTCAGAACTTCCCGGCACCACCAGATCTCCAGGCCACCCCCACCTCCAGTACCAGAAATGGACCAGTACCAGAACTTTCCTGTGCCACCTGACATCCTTGCCACCCCACCTGCAGTAGCAGTACGAGAACACCACCCACCTGACCCCCCCTCCGCACCAGCTCCACGACGATCAGGCCGACCCACCCAGCCACCGGATTACCCTGAAAGACTTTATAACCTCATAATCCTACTACAGAACTCTTAAGACAGAACATTTCAAACACAGTTTTATTCCTTCAGAATGAACACTATATACCCTGAATTAAGACTCTCCGACAACTTACACTGCATTTTATCATGCCAGTATAGTAACCTCTCCCATGGAAAAGAAAGTAAGCCAACACAAGTGATATCAGTCATTTATATCTATCTTTATTATACAGGAAGAGATGGCAAAGTTTACATTAAGAGAATTCTTGTTATTAACAATTGCAACGTATAGAAAAGAAGATCCTAAAGCAAGAAAGTTTGTTAACATTACTGTTCTCGTTACAAAAGCAGACGGTCACAGATTTATTTCAGACGACAAGAAGATCATTCTACTAGTCATTAAGATGTCTCTTAGAACAAGAAAGATTCGTTCACACTTTATTTTCGTTACAATATAGTAGGCGATTGTAAATCTATTTTGGAAGGAAAAGAGATCACGCCGCTATGTTATTAAGGTTGACCTTACATGAGTAGGTCATGAGCCCTGGAGGTCACCCGCCTCGTGGGGCGGCCATGTTGTTCGCCATCTTTGTTCTTTGTGTCAGCTCCTGATTAAACTGTGCTCGGTTCGCACACTGAATTGTTGCTGTCAGAGTCGTCCTACAGCGGCCTAATTGGCGCGACAGGACGTAACAATAAACATTTGGCACGCCGCCATCGGTGATAGGACGCGGTAGACTTGGGGGTCTCGCACAAGTTTTTTTCTCTCCGCGATACGCAGGACACCCGGATATCTCGCGGGATTTATCGGGACACCTATCCCGAAACATTCCGTATCCCGATGATGCATATCCCATGAAGTTATCTCTCTAAACAAAATAAGGATAATTGCCTTTATGAATTCGACAGAAGAAATATTGTTTGGGCTTCAATGTATATGAAGAAATATGTGAACGCCTGGTTTCACTAAATTTATTACGTGAGTCTTCATTATTTTATTTTCAATTTGTGCCCGCCGAATATCGCGCTTGTGAATTATTTTTCAGCGGTTATATCATACTTCCAAGACGTCTGAAGTAATGTTAAGTTTTTCATTTTCTCAACCTCAACCACATTTTCTCAACCTCAACTTTGCTAATATATATATTCAGCATTCACAGTTTTCTTATGATGTTATGTACATGAATGTACATGTACAAAGAGATGTATGCTTGCGTTGTAATGCTTTCATTGCATACAGACAACAGTGTTTTCTGTATTAAAAATTGGTCTGCTGCAAAATTTTGACATATATCATGTACCCCCTTTGACATATATTATATACCCTCTTGGACCCCGTCTGATATAGTTACACATGCATTATGCTTTCCTTTTGTGGTTCAATGACTTAGACATTATCAGTTTCTGCTCACTTTTGAAATGTTTACTCTCCTGTTTGTAAACAACAGGGCTAATGTAAAAGACTGCAAGCAAGAGAAGCCCTGCAACAGTCGCCACGGCTAGGGCCTGACAGACCTGAACCCAACCATTCAGAGAAACACAGAAACATATTATGCACTGTCCAATGCAATCTCCAATTTGGACATTAAATATTCATTATGTATGTTCAGTTGCATAATATATGTAAGTAATGTAAAGCTTTTTAAGTATGTATGTATAGTTTTATGTTTTATAGAGTGTGTAGTTGCCAATATTTTACACAACTGTAGATTTTCATTATTGATTTCATATAAATTTTCAAAGAACAACTTTTATAGAAGTTGGTAAATTCACTGGCTCTGCGATCAAAAGAACAAGTGAAACCCAACATCACTGACTTGATTTATATCTTATGTACTGTAGTATAAAGACTAAAGTGCACTGTAGGAATTATTTCTTCATATGATTGTATTTTTCATCATATATATGATATACGTACTTGCAATTAACCTTCTGCCATGTATTTGTAATAATAATAAACTTATCATCATAATTATTTCAGCCTTCCTATTTACAAAAATGTAATAAGGTTGTGAGATGAGCACAACAAAGTCCTTTGTAATTAAAGCTGTCAAAAAGACTAGAAGTTTACTTGGAGTCTGCAGAGGATGTCATAAATGAAATTTACATGCTGTGGCCTATTTGCAAACATGGTAAGAGGGTGTGCTGAGTGAATCATTGGTACTGTGGTATGTAACGTTACATATATCTCCTATACATGACACTAAAACTTCATTCTAAACTTCATCCTTGGCCTTACAAGGGCAAAAACATTCAAATCCCCCAGTTTTTACGGTAATGTTACTCTATAATAACAGTACATAGAAGTCAGTAATATAAGCAAAATATCCTTCTATCCTTCCTTTCCCAATAAAGGTATAACGTTAAATCTTAGGCAAGACCATCCTGAGGTAAACATATTGCATTTGCTTGAAAATGTTACCTTTCTAGTTCCTCATGTTTCTTCTCTTTCTTGAGGCCAAGAGCATATTCAGAACATGAGATATTGAAACCGGAAGTTCTGATGCTACTTACAAATGAATGCTGCCAGGGAGTCAAAATCTGACAATTTCTTTGATAAATCTACCTATATACCGAACTTCATGACAATCAATTCAAAACTTCTAGTCAGTTAACAAGCTAAAACACATACCTGTACATAAAATACATTTTGACTAGAGAGGCCGACATTCAGTGCTTGGGAGCAAATACAGCATATTTCAGTCCATCTCCCTCCCACGCAAAAGTGGACTATTCCAAACTTACCCCAGTGTAAAACTGACAAAGATTCTCAAATAAATGAATTATACAGTAGCTATGTAATTGAGAACAAAGATGCAAGATCAAGCACATTGAATCTCGAAAGCTTTACTAATCTTATTACAGGTATGCAAATACTAACAATGTATAACAATTGTATGTGTGGATCATTACGCACGACTTACGTGCAATGTGACCTCAGGTAACCCGCAATGGAACACGTGTTCCATGGCCAACGGCAGATGGAACGGGCCATTCTTTAGATAGAACATGGAACGGGTATAGCACTTTTGGCCCTTTTTTGCCATTAAAGTCCCCCAAATGAGTCATTTGGAAGTGGTGTATGCCAAATATGTGACTGCTATTCTGTAGACACATGTTCAAGGTACCCTTATACCGAATTTCAGATCATTTGGTTGTAAAACCAGGGCTCAGGATCCAAAAATCCATTCTTTGGCAAAAAATGCCCAAAAAAACCTTCTTTAAAATTTTTCAAAGGCATGTATAAAAAAATGAAAAAAATGCCTGGGGGTATTGGCCCACTCTACCTCCATGCCAAATTTCAAGTCATTTGGCTGAATGATGGCGGAGTTGAATCCCTTTTGACTGTTTGGCAGGAGAAGGAGAAGGAGGAGAAGAAGAAA